TTGAATGGTAATGCAAGGGTAATTCTCTGTTGTTGACTTCTTAACCTGGACATGCCACACGTTTATCTAATACTACACCCCTGTCGATTTTCTTTACTTCTGCAAAACATTGCACTGTTAGCTTGGCAGGCAGTGTTCGCTTAATTGTTATTGCACTTATTCTTTAGTGCATGCTGGAATTTCTTTAGCACCAGCAAGGATTAGACTCTTAAGGGGCAGGAAGTTGTCCTCAAGGAACAATTTATCATCAGTTGGCTGACCCTGGTGCATCTTCAGAACCAGATGTTTGCTCTGAGCCACTGATGGCAAATGCTCAAAGTGTCAACTGAGGATTAAAAAAAAAAAAAAGGCAAATTTGAAGTGGAGACTAATATCAGTCAAATGATATATGTTTTTGGCCCTTTCTTAATGGACCTTTAACTAGCAGGTGAGAGTGTGATGACAGCTGTGGGCCATGCGTGGGAAAGAACTTTGACTTTCAAGTGGTTTAGTCTTCTAGATACTAATAATTCTGGGACAGTATTTGGAGGTCTTTTGGTTGTGTTTTGTTTGTTTGTTTTCCCCCCAGTGGTACTGCTTAGTTCCTCTCTCTGTAACCAATAGCGGCTAGACTGTTCTTCCTTGCTTTGTAATTTATGTACGCTTGGGCAACATATGATGATTTTCTAATGGTAAACAGTGGTTATCCCGTCATTTAGACTTAGATATCTGAGTTTCTTTCAGTTCCTGGTTTTTAGAAAACAGTTCCCTCATGGAAGTATAAAGTATTTCAGGCATTGACAGTTTGTATGGCATGTTGCTTTCATTCAAAACTTAGTTGTGTTTTTTCCCTCTCTTTCTCTCCAGCTTTTCTTTTGCTTGAAAGGTTCTCTGGGATTCATGGGGGTTTTTGGTCATGTACGATGTTTGAGGGTTTTGTTAGTTTGATTGTGAAAATTGTTTTTGTGCTCTGTGTGTAGTCTCATTTCCGTGGAAGCATGCTGTGATTCCATTTACGTGAGAATTCATTTTCATGTGAAGAAAACAGCTACAGCTCAGGAGTTAGCTGAGTCTTAGAGTATGTTTGCAGCAGAGCAGTTGTGGTCAAGGAGGAAGATGTGGTCATGTTGCATGCATAGCTTATAAAACTTTGTGATGCACCACAAAATCTTTAGTTCAAGTCATGTATTTTATACTAACGTGTTGGTAAAAAAATTCAAATGAGAAGATATTAGAACAAGACCTCTATTCAACTTTGAAAGATAAATTTGTTAAAGCAGGTTCGCAAAGAACAACGCCTGCTTGTTCCTCTGTGTATTTTTTGGTTGTCTGTTCTTTAAATGTTCTTGTTACTGCTCTGAAGCATTGCGCATCAATGAGCGTGGTGTAGAGAACTTAAGTTCTGTGGCTGAATAATTGTGAGATGCTTGTTCCTTCTCTCCATCCCATGTGCCTGAAGATTTGGGGGGTGGGGAAGGGAAGGGGAAGCAGGTCAATGAACTTCTACTGCAGTTTTCCCAATGGATTCTCTCTTTTTTCCTTTGTGGTCGCTTCCATCTAGTGGGTGCCTAGCCATTTGACATTCTGTCCTCTAACTCTTTAGAAGAAAGAAGTATTGAATTTTTTCAGTTCAGCAGCGTTGTGGAGTTTACAGATCTCTACAATTAGCGAGAGCAGGGGAGCGGGAGTTGAAAAATTTGACAAGTGTTTAAGCACCTAAACTTACTTTCAGCTAAATCCAATGAATCTCATCTTTCCAAGATCAGTAACTTGAAAAAAAATTGCAGGCTGTAGTCTTCAAGGAACCAGTATGTATTTCACCTACTTTTTCCTGCTCTTGTGTGTGTTCTGATAAATGGGTTTAGAAATGCATTAAATGAAACTTTTTTTTTTAAACTGTTGCTAGGTAAGCAGAGTATGCTTATTTCTTACAACAATGCACAATAATTTTTTTTTTAATTTAGACCCTCAAATCTGAGCATAGCCTGTAGACGGTCCTCTTGCCCCACCTCTATTCATAGAGGAAGTGACAGTGTTGTCTCATTTTTCCCTCTGCAAAGGAAGATGCTCATGTTACCCGCTTGTTTTCACTACCTGTTAAAACAGTTCTGGGGTTTTTTCTGTGTTTTTTTTTGTTTTTTTTTTTTGTGCTGCCAAAATTAGCCTTTGGAGTCCATTTGACTTTGAGCAATTATTTCTTAGGTTATCCACTGTTATGCTGTTTGTATGACCCCAGTTTTCAGTCTCATCTCCCCGTGCTCTCTTCCTCCTCTCCTTCCCCCCCTGCCAATAAATCCCTTAAAAGAAACTACAGCTATCACCGTTTTCTCTTCCACTTTGTAAGTTAGCAGGCATCTGTCCTGGTGCTCTTTAAAGCTAATAAGTTCCTCTTAACTTTATTCGTCTTAGGAAAATACTTGTGCTTATGCAGCACAAAAGGTGTACAGGGCACTTTCAACGCTGTTATTGCAAGGATTCTGAGCAAATTTTCTTTCTGCGTGTCAGTAACTGTATCCTGTTTCTCATCTCTCGGGAAGATTATTCTCATGATGAATATAGGGTCATATTTTCAACTGCTCGTGGTTAGTGATGTAGGAACTAGTTTCATATATACACTAGATGTCTCCATGGGGTTTCTCTCCTGGAAAGCTACAGCAGCAGTGACTACGTGAAGGTAGGGATTTTTTTTGTGGTGGTCTGTCATTCCTTTTTGTACTACTTCTTAAGGGTTTGGTGGTACCTAGCTCAGGAAGTTGAAAGGATTTGCTCTTGCTGGCTCCAAGTAGTGCTACACTTAAGCACCTGTGTTTGTGTATCTTTCTAGCTTCAAAGGTCTGCCAGTTGCTCTGGCTGACAAAGATACTTGGTTTCACTTGGTGTATGTCAACACTTCTATTGGTCCCAAGAGAATCTCTGCTATTTTAAGGGCTACATTGAACTTCATGCATTTATCAAACTACTCCTTCTCCCCTTCAAGCCAGGTGCAAATACAAAATTAACCAGTAGTTTGATCTCCCTCTTCCCTGGGAAAAGTGTCATTTGAGAAATAAGTCACCAGCAATGTTCATTTTTAAACTTTAGGGCAGGTCTGGTGAGTCTTCCTTCATGTGTATGGTTATACCAGAATCTTCACGTGCCTGACCCCAAGGCATGTGCCACGTACTGAGAGCAGCACAGGGACGTGTGGTCGTCTCCTGGAGTCATGACAGGTGAAGAGTCCCTCTGTCCACTGCTGTCATGTGATGATCTTCATAACACACAGCCGTGGCCCTGGACATCCTGGTAATACTGGTCTCGGTAGCCTTGATTTCTGAATAATTGTTTTTTCCTGGAAAAACAGTTTTTGCCTGCACTCTGTAGCCCTCGCTGCTGGTTGCATAACATATCCTGACGTAAGTATCTCACTTGAACTGTTTGTGGCTGCAGAGTGGAAGGTTAGCTATTCTTATCCTAGTGAAATGACGGCATTTCTTGAGATGTAATAAGATGTCATTAGCTACTCTAAAATACCAGGTGGTGTTATATCTCCCTGTTGTCTTACTTGTTTGCAGATCAGTGTGTTTTATTTTATTGATTCTTTTGATTTTCCTGTTTAGCTTGGCTTTGCGTGTTTTGTCACCCAAGAGGTTGATATAATGGATCTCTGTGCTCAAGGCTGTTAGCCTGTTAGAAGTTCTACACTGATGTACTAGCGAAGGAGAAAGTTAAAAATAGCTGAACGTTCACATGTGCCCATCAGAAGCCAGATCTCCATGGCGCATTTTTGCCAGCAATCGTAGCATTTTTATCCTCCTTCTAAGTCCCCTTTAGCTTTCATAAAATTGTATTGGTAGGGATATAGCCATGATTTTTTTTCTTCTGAATTGAGTTGAATGTGTGATGGAACTCTGAAAATGCTGCCATGTATACATGAATGAATAACCAAGATGGAGAAAAAACTCAGCTTCATCCGATCTTTGAGAAACACAGTATAGGATTTGGAGGTATTGGGGCAGCATTAAAAGTAGCACTCTTCTCTGTATTCTTTCTTTGTTCGTAGCAAGTGTAGATCCATGCCATGGGTAAGATTGTCAGAGGTAGGTCACTGGAGCTGACCTTCTGTCCCTATCTTCCTAAGAGTACTCAGCGTTTTCAGTTCCTGTCAAAAGCAATGCTCTCCAACATCTGTGGAAGGTAACAGAAAAGAATTCAAGGTCATTAATGCAAAACCTTGCTGATGATGTGCTTTAGCCCCTGATTTATATATATGTGTGTGTGTGTATATATGTACACACACACAAACATTCATGCAGCTTGTTCTGTGTCTGAAGCTGTGGTGCGGTAAAGTTTTTGTTTTTTGTTTTTGTTTTTTTTTTTTTCCTCCTAAACAGATCTTCATTACACAAAGTTCTTCTTGGGCTTTTAGTTTAACTTGCTTGACTGTTATTCTGTAGGCTAGAGCGACTTATTTAGTAATTTCTTCCTAGCATCTTTGTGGTGTTCCACAGTCTAATAGTGTGCTTATCTGCTTCCTTTGTAGCTTTTTTCTTTGCATTTTGAATTAAATACACTTACTGGTATATACTGTTGTGGGTTACAGCTGTTGCATTCTCAGAGGACTCAAAGCAAAACTGCTCAAGTAAAGAAATTTTGGAGTCTTAACTTTAATAATGGTTTACTTTATCCACCCTGTCTTGAAGATCTCAAAGCTGTTAACATCGGAGTTGTAAAAGAGTTGGCATTGTTTTACTGTTAGAAATCATTATTGCAGAAGAACTGTGAAAATTTGAAACAGTACATGTTTGCTATAAAAGCCTTAGAGGAAATAAGCGGCTGAACTGTTGAAAAATCCTGGCTGAATACTTAGAAGTAAAACCTGCTGGTTTGTTAAAGCTGCTTTGGACAGCAGTAGCCTCTCCTATAGCTAGGAAGAGATTTTTATCATTTCGGTTTGTATATCTATTTCAGTAGAGTTTTCCAACAAGCAATTAAGAAATAGACCGAGTTGATTGCATTGCGTTTTTTCTTGTTGCTTTTCTTAGTGACGCTCGCCTGAATATATGAATGTAAACCAACTGTGGAAGTAGGAGACCTAATATCTTCAAAATCTTCGGATATGAGGGCGATAAGCTATTGATCCGGTAACCACAAGTAATGGTTCCTTTCTTTCAATTTATCATTTTTTAATTCCAAACCTGATGCAAAATATTTCTTTTCCTTCTGCATTCTGACATGTGAGTGGTTTATTTGAAGTCAGAATCCTATTTCAAATGCTGACTTAGCACGTTTTAATTTAACTCTCCTTTTAGTTAGATATAGGTATTTAATAACTCAATCTTTTATGGCTTGCTAGCAAAATCAAATGATGAGAATGAAGACTAAAAATACCTGTTGAGCTATATACCTGCTTGAATGTATGTAAATAAATACCTTCTAGTTATACTATTACATGATAGTAGGGTGACCTTTCTTTTGGGGAATAGCAAGTACAAATGCAAACTGAAAGTCGGTCAGTTACTAAAATAATTTGTTACTGAGTCTGCTCATTTTTTCCACTGTCTTATTGGAATGATCCCCTTCTCAAAACATGTAAACAATTATTATTTGTATTGTGGCTGACCCTGAAGAGTAGCTTCTGGATCCAAGCCCTTTGTGCTTGTCCGTACAGAACAAGATGATGGTTTCGGACCCAAATTGCTCATGAAGTGTAAGGTAAAGGGCCAAAATCCATTTACATTGATGGGGAAGTATAAGAAGGCAAGGAAAAAACATGGCTCAGCATGAGAGCTAGCGGCCTTAACATATGCTGAAGCACAGTCTTTTTTTCCTATTTCTATTTTTGTGCAATCTCCTATGCAGTTAACCAGTTTCACTTCAAAGCAGCAATGTGATACTATTACTAACGTGTCCTTAGGAGTAAGCTGTTATGCCTAGCGCTAGTTATCGGGGTTGGCATCACTGCGGGCTGTTCTGGCATTACTTGAGGAGAAATGCTTTCCAAGGAGAGGTATTTCTGGCAGTGACACCAGATAACTTAGTACCTTTAAATGCCTGCCAATGAGCAAGTTGGTTGCAAGTCTTGACCATTGATTGTCGGAGTAAGTTCTTAGACAGCCTAGTCTTTTGAGTATTAGAAGCGGATTGGTCAGATTGGTACTCCAGCAGTGAGAGGAATCGAGAGCGGATCCTTTGTGGTCAAGAAGCCCAGTGGAGTGCACCAAAGGACCCCCTGAACTCAGCGTGGAAACCAGGCAGAATATAGCAGGATCGTTTCCCGCTCCTTCCTCGTACCTTGTGGGTGAAGTGCAGCTGTTCTGTGGTTAGCTGCTGTGCAAAACCACGCCGCAGTGACTCTAGATGATCTAAACAAATGTCACCTCAGCATTTGAGGCGTGCTTTTCATGGCATAATTCCTTAATTGTGAATGTCAATGTAGTACAAATAGCTCAGCTCTGCTTTTCCTAGTAAGTTGGAAACCTGGGTTTGGGAGGATCCTGACCTCTCGCGTTTATCATGAGCACACCGGAGCACGTGGAATACACGTACCCACACAGTGTGCTCTCCCGCGCAGTGTGGGAGCACGCTGATGGAGTGAGGCAAATGGAGAAAATGCCTTAATAAGCTTAATCTGTTGTCCGCTTTTGACAGTGTTTCTGCTTTAGTGAGAATGGAAGATTCGAGCGTTTTCAACGATGTCTTTAAGGCTTCTGAAGTGGGAAGTGACTCTGGTTTTGAATCTTACTGTAGATTTTTGTATATGATTTGGCCTATCTTATCAGCTTGAAAAATCCTGTTGTGCCTTTCAGATGAGGGGGGTTGCTTGTTTTGTGTTTACGAAACATTTTGGATTAATCATAAATGTGGGCTATATTTTTTTTTTCTGAGTATTAAGGACGAAAGTGAGCTGCGCTACTCAGAAGAATTATCCGTTCGCTTTGGAAGGCAAGGCTTGGCTTGGTCCTGGGTGGGCTGCTGATTAAGCTTTTGTGGTTAATAAAGCCTGTCACTAGACAGCTATTACTTTCCTGTGTTTTGTGGATGAGATGTCTGGAATGAGGGTTTAGACACAAATGATCCCCAATGCATTTGGTATAAAGAGAAGTTCTCTGAGGAGAGGTAACTTGCTAGCAGGTGTTGACATGTGTGACAAGAAGTTTTATCCTCTGTCAGAGTTGTAGATCTTTTTTAACTCTTTATATCTCAGTCAGCTGAAATCTCTGAAAAAAGTCCCCATATCCTCAGGGAAAGGACTTTGCTTCAAGTGTACTGTATTGTCAAGCATGGACAGGAATTTTGCAGAAAATCGGTCCATTCGATGGACTTGAAGAGATGATATTGAAGAGGTTTGATATATGTTGTTATTGAAAGCACATTCAGCTAAATGTCTTGATGCACATTCTTTTCTCATGATATCCCTCCCTCCTCTGCTTGCACAGTACACTCAGTCTTCAAGAATTTGTGTCATTGTAGTTTCTTCTTGGGTAGTAGTATTCCTAAAGCTTTGCAAAATGTATGTTTCTTGGAAACCAATAACTTTTTTCTTTTGTAATGTTGTTGCAGTACCTGCTCCTGTCGTTACCGCCACAACTGCTAACATGGAGGTGGTTTCAGCAGAAGTAAACAGCTTACTCCCTGAGGAAATAATGGACACTGGTATAACTTTGGTGGAAGATGACAGTATCGAGGCCGTTATTGTGTCATCGCCTATGGGAGATTCTATTCCCATGGAAACAGAACTGGAAGAAATAGTGAACATAAGCTCAACCAGTGATTCTTCAGCAACAACTACACCTGCAGTCACCACAGAACCAGTTACTGGGCCCAGTAATCACTCAGGCGAAGTGACAGTGAATACCACAGCTGCAAAAACTGATGCTAATGCAATAGTAAAGCCTACGTTTCAAAGTGGCCTCCATAAACTTGGTGCTCAGAGCCCTGTCACTATATCAGCCAATCAGATTATTCTGAACAAGACTGCTGACCTTAAAATAGGCAATCAGAGTATTAAACCGGATGGGCAAAAGCTAATTGTAACAACTTTGGGCAAGTCTGGCCAACCCATTGTTTTAGCACTACCCCACAGCCAACTCCCTCAGGCGCAGAAAGCCACCTCCCAGGCCCAAGGTGGAGACTCCAAGGTACAAGGCCAGCAGATCAAAGTTGTTATTGGAGGGAGGTCAGAAGTGAAACCTGTTGTTGGTGTCTCAGCTTTGACACAAGGAAGTCAGCTGATAAATACTGCAGCCCAGCCTTCTGTATTGCAGACGCAGCAATTGAAAACAGTACAGGTAAAGTGAGTTGTGCTGATGAAAACTCTTTAAAACAATTATGTTGCTGCAACTGTTGTCAGTTTCCTTGATTGACTGGCAAGGGATGGCTTTTACCCTTGGCACTTGTTCCTTGTATAGAGATATGATGTTGCTCTCAGCCTGCTCTTTCATATGTGGATTCATTTACAATTTAACGCCTTCTACGTCTAGCTACTGCCTAGAAATTTAGGGTCTGCCTCGGAAAACAAATCATTGAATTGAAAAGACCTTTCCTATTATTTTGATATTTTAAAAATAAATTTTGCTTGCTTTCAGGAGGATTGAACTGAACTCCGTATGCCTGTTGTTTCTTTATTTGAAGTGTGCACTGCTTTCCTCCTTTATGATAAAAGCAGCTCTTGCTTCTAACAGTTTGTTATAAATCGGCTATCTAAAAAAGCCTCACAGCATATGAAAAGCCACATAAAGGTATCTCGTGTCTGCTTCAAATATGCTTACGCTTGTTAGTAACTACTGATAAAGTAGACATTGCCGTAACCCAGACGCTTCCAAGTCTGCCTCCCTAAGCCTGGCATGGAGTTTGAGATATTTGAAACCGAAGAGAATCTGATGGGATCTGAGTATGTGTTGAAAAGAACTGGATTATTACCCAGGTGGTCTGATGTTCATCTGAAACATGGTGAAACTCAACTTGAGTGACTGTGCAGTGATGCACAAATAAGATCCCATTAAAATGAAGGAGGAGTGGGGCTCAAGGAGGGTTATGGAGGAAAATATTTATTCTACAATCTGTAAGTGAAGTGAGAAATAAAACTCAAAAGTATACAAATAAATACTAATTTGCTGCACATAAAAAATAACAATCTTGAGCAAACTGAGTGGAGTGCTAAGTTCCCCAAATGTTATTTCATAGTAAGCAAATGTAAGCAACTGGAGCTCTCATGCTTGGTTGTCAGAATATCTTTTCAAGAAGCTTCTGCTCTTGGCTCAGGGCAGGAACGTTTAAGAACGGATCAGTTTGTAGTGTTCGGCTTCTGTTACTCGCTGCAGACTGACAGATACAGGAAACTGAGGAGAAAATGACTTGGCTCTTGTGCTTTTGTTTGCATAAGTTTGCCTGTGCCATCAATGATAGAAAAACAGTGACTTTGTGCTTGATCCCTACTGTTGGTCAGTAGGAATCCTATAGGTTCCTTAATGTAATCTGTAACTGACTTGCATCCATTTGTGAGTCTGTGGTTGCCTGCAGTTTGATGGAATTTGTTGTGATCTCTCTTTATTAAAGCTTTGCTTCCTTTTGTAGAAGAGATTGAACTATTAATATCTGAATTTCCTTTTTTTTCCCCCCCTTCCTCCATAAGAGGAGGAGGAAGTAGAACTGATAAGCAAGAATACAACGTTTAGTTGCTTGTCAAAAGTGCAGGATACTGCAGGAAAGATGAATATGTTTCCCGAACAGTACTTTCCCCTGTAGGAAATAATTAAGTTATCAAAGGGATATATGAGGATAGATGAGAGATTTGTAATCCCCTCTATCGTGAATGACATGGGAGGTAACCCACCCTTTGAGTCCCTGGCTTGGCGAATGAAGTCATGTTTTTACCCCGTTGTCTTGGAAAGGCTCTTAGCCTTCTTGGCACCTTCTGAGTGGAAAGGAAGCTGTGAGTACATCCCTGCTTCCCGAGGGTGCTGTGGAACTGAACTGATTTGCAAAGCCACGTGAGAGCTTTCAGATACAAAGCAGCACAGCAGTTCAAATTGGTGCAGAAAAGTGAATTGATAAAGATTAGCTTTAGATGGTGAAGGGCTCTGTTCTCCTTGCATTATCACTGTCGCAGTAAGGCTGTAGAGCACTAATTGAGTTTCTCTAATGACCTGAAAAGCCCCTGTGATCTAATTGTGGTAATTGAAATCTCAGTGCTTCAGAAAAGGCATAATTGATAGTGTTTGGTGAGATGTCCTTAGGCTCTTGCTCCCTTTCTGACTGCAATTTTAGAGGTATGAAGCTACAGGGTACAAAATGTAGCATGACCTGGGGCTTCAACTGTACCAAGAGGTTTATTGCTGTCCCTTCTAGCATGGAGCTGGACGGCTTGTCCTGATGTAGTTGAAATCGGAGCACAGATAGTTTAAACTATATTGGCAAAACTGTTTGGTAAATACATCTGCTTTCAGCCTGAGGCTCCTGCCTGCGTACAGCCTTAAAAGCAGTGATGTGCTGGTGTAGCACAACTGCACATGTATGCTTTAAGGCAGAAGTTTGACCTTACAGATGATGTGTTTCAACCAGATGTCCAGATCCACTTCCACTGCGGTCACTAAGCCAGCCTGACTTGAATTTGTCCTGATGTGGTAACTGGCTTTGCATTTCAGCAGTTACACCTCTCCGTCTATAGCATTACTGCTACCGTGGCAGGATAACTCCTAAGTCATTGTAGTGGCTGTGTCTTGTCACAGGGAAAAAACCTCATCCACTCCCTAACCTCAGAGTAAGCCCTAATTCCTAACTCAATTTCTTCATTCTTGGTTATCTTCTCGGAAGTTTACCGTTGTCCCTTTTCATTTCCAGATTTGGCTATGTTCATATTATACCAAAAACAAATTACCCAGTGTGTCGCTACACGGGCAAGTTCCCGTTAGGCCATCTAGGGTGCGGGTTTATAGCCCTTGAGCTCCTTTGCGGTAGCTGCCTGTGTACACATATTCTTATCCAGTGGTAGATGGGAGGTAGGGTGGTGTGGAGTTTTTTTTTTTTTTTTGGTTGCATTTTTTTTAGTATGACTATAGTGTCATTTAACAGTTGAAGACAAGTCTGATCTTAGAAGCGTGCTTTTTGGTCTTGCTTAGTGGAAGACACAGTTTGACCCTTATAAATAAAAGATGCTTGCAGATAAATCCCATTCATTCTGTAGGGGGAAAGAAGCTTGATGTGTGCCTCTTAATCTAATAATTTTCTTATGGAAGAGCTTGTTGCTCCAGGAAGTGTTTTTTGCAGTTTAACTCAAAGTAACTTGCAGGGAGTATGCTTAGCTTACAGAGGCCGAAAGGAATAGTATTAAGCTCCCTGTGATTAGTATGGGCGATGACAGAGGGCTCCAGAGAATTTGCCTTTGCTGAAGCATCAAAGGGACAGTCTGTCATCTTGATTATTTCTTATGGCTTTGCCAGTCTCTTGCTGAAATGAGGAAGGAGTTTTCCCACTGATGCCTAGAAAGCTCTTACAAGTGGTTGGAGTTGATCTGCTGCGGTGGCAAAGCCCTCGGAAAGACGCACTGATGAGGAGCAGTGAGTAGGGCAGAAGTGTGCTATCTGCGCTTGGGGGCCAAGGGCCATTCCTCTTCTATAACTGACCACCTCAGAGTTGCAGCGTGTTTTCCAAGGCCTGAGGGTCACTTGGTAGAATGTGTTAGACCTCATATTTTATATGAGAAATAGTTAGACTCATATGTTAGACTTCATATTTTATATGAAAAATAGTTCACACACACACATACACACACAAAAAATTCTAAGGAGTGTATTCTTTCTGTCCCTGATCTGTTTCAGCAGTCTGTCTTGCACCCTTGTGAGTTGAATCTGACGAAAGCAGGGTTATTTGTAGTAATCGGCTCTTTTTTTGAGGTTTTTACGTTTTCTGACATATTTCGTGTTAACAGATATGCTTTTGAATTACTTACGTTAAAAAAGGCTATTTAATGACTGTTACTGAAGAATGTCTGCCTTAGTTCAGAGCTTTGTGTTCCTGCGAGACATGGATCACATTTTAAGCCAGACTTTGCCCTCACTTCAGAGAGTATAAGTAATGGTAATTGAAGTACAATAATACCTTATGGCAGGATAAGAATAATTTCAGTAGAATGGAGATCATGTATCCAAGAGATAAAATGTGGGGAGTTTATTATAAATTAAAATGTGTGCAAATTTGCAAAAACTTTACTGGTAAATATCTGTTTAAAAATGGTCATCCGTCAGCTGTGTATGTGCTAAGAGAACTGAATCCTTGAAATACTGAAATGTAAAACTAAATATCAACTGAAATGTAAAAAAAAGTACTTGTAAACCATGCCACGCATGAAGTTGGTCTTCAAACAACCAGTTGTTGGAAGCTTTCACTTGATATATCTTCAAAAAGAGTGGCTTTTTTCTTCTCCGATTCATTTTTAGCCTTGAATATTGCATGCCATCTATAAAAGGGCTAGCCGTCTTCAGCAGTCTTTCTTTGGAGCAGTGTCCTTTAATGGCTTAGGTAGTTCCAGGGGCCCAGGCGAGTGGCTGTGCCCTGGGTGTGGTGTGTTTGGGGTGAACGTGCAGCTGGCTTTTATCTGTAGGCTGTCTGAGGTGGAGGTTTCCTCTGTGGAACAGCTGTCCTGTAAATGCAGAGGAGCACTCGGCCTCCTTTAAATGAGGACTGTTTTCTAGCTCTGTCTGATTGCCAAGCTTGTTGTAGTTTGCTGCCCTTGGCTGGGCACAGCTAAGGCACGCAGAGACAAGGTGTGCTTTTCAATGGAGGCTTCATTGCCCTGACAGTCAACGCAGGGCCCTGAAAGGGGTGGAGGCCGCAAGGCTAGGACGCCGTATAGCGAGGTGGGAGCTCTTGCTTCCCCAGCGGTGCTGTGAGCACGCTGCGGGGAACTGCCATGACCTCACGGTCCTGCTTGCAGGGAAGGTCACTGACTTAGGCATGTGTTGCTGCAGAGTAATTTCGAAGTTTTGGCTTTACTCTGCTGTAAAGGAGGTGTTTACAGTGAGCCAATTCTATAAATAGGGTTTTGCATAGGAAACCACAGCACCCAGCCTATTTGATTACTTCATTTAAGCACTTGCAATTTTCTCTGCCTGTTATAAGTAGCTGTCAACTCTGTACTTTGATGCATGTGAGAGACTTCTCTGGGTCGTTACTTTAGTAACAACAGTAGTTTTGCCTCTTTGAGACATGGATCCTCACATGGATGCCAATGTTGTGCTGCTGGGATGTTACTAGAGTCCTTGACTGGCACACATGGGGTGCAGCTGTGTGTCAGTGATGGAGGAGGGAGGTATGGCCTTGGGCTGCAGTATAGGAAAGTGTCAGGACTTTAGTAATGCCTTCTGAGTAGGCTCAGTTCAGCTTCCGGTGTTTTGTATCATTGAATACTCTGAAACGCGTGGGCGTCCCTCCTCGAGGTACTTCATAGTCTTTTCCACTCTCCCTTGTGCCACTTCTAGGCACGTGGAGGGGAGTTAGCTTGGAGATCCAAGGGAGCTGAAGGAGAATTGCTCTGATAGACGTTGGATGTTGGGGGAGCAGCAACAACAGAGGACTGGATAGTTTTTTGCAGGGCCAGTGAATCATGTCAGCTTATGGAAGCGTCAAGGTAGCTCTGTAGATGCTTTGAAGGAAGTTGTTGGCCTACCACTGGGGAGTAGGGAAGGTGAAAGGGGGGAAAGATCTCCCCCCTCCAGTTACTGAACAGCTAGAACAGCACAGCTGTGTGTGATAGAACCTCAATTTGGTCTGTGATTTGCCACAAAATCGATAGTATATATTTAGGGCCAAACAAGTGGGTTAACAAATACTTTGCTAAAGGTTCCTCTCTTTCCTCACACTTATGGTAACTGTCTTTCAGTCACTTTTAGTTTGCAGGGTAGCGGGAAGGGATAAAGATCCTAAGCGTAGTCACCGAGTGCAGGCAGTGTGTATAGTCAATAGGTTAAATAGTCTGAAAGAAGTCACTTAGTTGAACCCTTCACCAGCTGGATGCCGGTGCACAGAAAGTATTAAAATAAACGTGTCTGGTAGCTGATTGCTGTGAATGTGGTAAATAAGATCAAGTCTGGCTTGTCCATGTTATTAAACCCTGCTTATAAAGCTTTCCAGTTGATGTGGTCAGTCTCATCAAATAACACATACCTGTCCCTGGTCCAGCTGTATTTCAGGAGACTGAATTGGCTGTGAACTGTCACAGTTCACAGGAAGAAAAAAGATCCCCTTGCCCCTGAATGTAACCAGATGATTCGCTATTTGCCAGTGAGTGCCAAAGACATTGAAGGCCTGATACTCTAGGTTTCTGTCAGAACAGTTGCAGAAGGTTGTTTTCCCTGTTGCAAGCTGCAGGGTGCAAGTATATTACTGTGTCAGAGCAGGTGAAGCCATGATTCACAGTGGTAGTTTTCATATTTAAATCACCTGTGGAACAAGTGTTATCCTGGTTGATTGTCAAAGCACTTTTTCTAAAACTTAAAAATTGAGATTTCTGCATTCGTTTTGATATTTTTATATTGAAAAGCTGCACATGAATACTTTCAGGAGCCAATTAAGACGTCATCCTAAAGTTGAAGTATGCTTGTGCAGAGAGATGGAAAAGCTGTAAGGGATTTGGCAGTCCTGCTTTGTTCCTTTTTTGCTTGCTGGCTCTCTGCAGTGGCACTGATGATAACCCAATTCTGTCCATAGTGAGAAATGGAGGTGAAATGGGAGATGAGTGATTATTTCTTTTTCTGTGTGCGAGCGTTGCCCCCTTTCTTTCATGATGTACTTAATACAGTATTTTAGATCCAAAACACTGAAGTTACTTAGCTCTTGTTCTATCCATCTTTCAGATTGCAAAGAAGACGCGAACCCCAACTTCTGGCCCGGTGATCACCAAGCTGATCTTTGCAAAACCAATCAACAGCAAAGCTGTTACGGGGCAGACTACTCAAGTGTCGCCAGTCATTGCAGGTGGTGGTACTTTGATTTGTTTTGCTGTTCCATTTTTTTTTTTTAAGAGATGGTTATTGTAAATTTGACATTTTTCTGTGTTGATGGTTTTGTTGTATGTTCTGTTGTAAGTACCTCATGTGATTCCGAGAATTAGCAGAGGATTTTGTAGGTTGAGGCAGATAAATGCAATGGTTGGTACACTTACACTTTGCTCATTTAGCATGATCTTTGTGATACTACAGTTAGTAATTTTGCTTTTTGTGTAAGCTGCCTCTGAATTTTGAGGGGAGAGAAAAACACCTCACCACCAGAGAAGAAAAGACTGTACACAGAAAAAAAGGAGGCAAATGCTCTTGTATTCCTGTGATCTACTTGGGGTAAACTTAAATGTTATACATGCAAATGGCAGGGAAAATGTTTCTGAGCGAAAGACTAACTGCAGTTGTCTGTTCTACAAATAGAACTGTATTGTTTCTCTTAAGGTGCTCATCTACTTCAGTACTAAGCACTGCAGAAGTGTCTAAGAAAGCAATTAAGGCTATTAAGAGTGGTTTGCCTCTTTGGAAAATTAATCAGTTTTCCTCTATTTCCTTTCTAAACAAGCAGACAACCAAAAAAAAAAAAAAGGCCCCTAACCTATTTCTTTAAGCATACTTTTATGAAGGCAGTGGGACTGATGTGCCCCTTCATAAATGGATCACAGCATGTATTCAAGTAACCTCTCAGGTGTGTAAATTATCTCAAAAGAAGGGGGGAAAAAAAAAAAAACCTAGAGGAGTCTTCAGAGCTTTGAAAAGTGAGTGTTCAACTCTTCCAAAACTAACCACCTCAAATAGGCCTAAAAATCTTCTGCGCGTACTTAAACGAACATGTTCAGCCTTGACAGAACTGGGACCTCAGCTGGCTGTAAAAGAAAGTAACTGTCTCTGTTGTGTTCGTGAGTTTCATAGCTGTAGGTGAAGGGCACATAACTGAGTCATAATCCTTTCCTTCCCTCATTAGACTGCCTGCACCCATGCTTGTTTCAACTGTAATGTGGGTTTCTGTACTTGCCCAAATCTCCCTCCTGCTTTTTCCCCTTCCTTAAACACTTCTCCACCAAACTTCTAGACCTGTAAATAAGAAGATTGGTTCATTGTGTTTCTACAAGTTGGAATTAAGCTTTTTGTATGTGTGTATGGATGCGAAGAGGATGGGGCCAGGGTCTTTTTAGTGGTTCCCAGTGACAGGACAAGAGGCAAAGGGCGCAAGCTGGAACACAGGACGTTCTACTTGAACGTGAGAAAACATTTCACTCTGAGGCTGGTTAGGTGCTGGAACAGGTTGCCCAGAGAGATTGTGGAGTCTCCATCCCTGGAGAGACTCAAAACCCAACTGGCCTGGTCCTGGGTAGCCTGCTGCGCTTGACCCTGCTGGAGCAAAGGAGGTGGACCAGATGATCTCCAGAGGTCCCTTCCAACCACAGCTATTCTGTGATTCTGTATGTTTTAAAAAAAAAAAAAAACCACCAACAACAACAACAACAAATAAAAGAAGCCAAACAACATCATTTCAGCTGCAATATGTTGTTGTCTGGCAACATGTGAAAACTAGTAGACAATAAGGAACCACAAGAAATTATTATTTAGGGCATGTGGTTTATAGGGAAATGTTCATTTCGCAATATACCTAGATAATATGGACAAGTGAATCTGTTAGAAAATAAATCTTCCTAAAATTAATACTCTGAAAAATTGAGAGTACATTTCCCCAGGCCTGTGGCAGAAGCTTTGCTGGTGGGTGAAGACACTTCTATAAATGACAGGAAATTGTTTTTAAAAGTCTCCCTTCCCTCTCTTCACCCTAAATGGCCAGCACAACTTGCCAGCTCTGAGAGCCTGGCACCATTGTGGGGAAGGCATAGCACGTGTGGGGTATGTTTAGATTTTGTAGATGAGTATTTTTTTAATTGCCTGAGAGTTTTGCAGTGAGGTGGAAGCCGCATTTTTGAAGGAACTGTAAAAATAAGCAGCCAGATTCCATTTAGGAAGTTGATGCCAAGGGGCACAGAGGGGTTACAGGGAGAAGGGGAAAGCTGTCACCAGAAAAAGCAAGCTAGAAGCTTTGAATACGGTAGATGGTATAATTCCCACAGAAGATGACATATTTCGGGTTGCACGTGGCTTTAGCAGCTGCTGGTAATGTTGTGTGCTGTGACTTAGCCTTCACTTTTGTGCAGCCTATCTTAGAGTCTGTAGACCTCGGAGGAGGGCAGCTTTCCACTAGGATTGTGCTTTTTCATGGTGGTTCTGGTTGACTTAATCACCGTGTTACCACTTGATTTTAGGTGTAAAAGTTATGCTGGGTCATTTGGTCTTGTTTTGATATTTATAGTGCAAAGGGATGGATGAGAGAGAAACTATAGCAAAAATGGGCCTGGGACAGAGTGTAGCACGGGAAAGCTCAGTGGTCAAGTGCTTTTCAGGAAGAAGCTTGGAAGCAGGAAGAAAAGCTGTTCCCTTGAGTTTTGCACTGTTCCTGAAAATGATGTAGCGAGTTGGAGCTGCTTGATGCTTAAACATCAAGATGGCTTGTTTGCCGTCTGCTGTTGTGAAAGCAGATTGTACGTGGAGTTAAGCTTCCACCTGTATTTTTGAAGGAACGTTGTATGTTCTGCTAAGCAGTGAGAGAAGAGTAACCAGCACAGGCAGAAGAAAGTAAACTTAGAGCTGGATGTAGACAGAAAGCAAACAGCCTTTTTTTTGATCACCCTAATACAGCTTGTTTCTGATGGCTAATTTGTGTAAGGAGGTAGCCCCTTGATGGATTCCCAATTTTTCCACGTGTTTGCCAGCAGTCCCTGGGGTTGCTAGCAGGCTGCCAGCTCACTGGGTGTTTGTGCACAGTACAGGTGCGTGTGGAGGGCTGCGCGTGTGGAGATGTTATCTTGCTTGTAAAGAATTTTTGGCTGAACGTCTTGGAAAGCTGAATGTGAATTTTAGCTTTTTTAAGCCTGAGTCAAGTGGCTTTTTATTTGCATGAATGCATTTTGTTCCTTGTTGCCAAATATAACTTAAGGAATTCCCGTGTCCCTCCTACAAGGTAATACACTCTCAGAAGTGGGGGTAAATCACATGATATCCAGAGAAACCTTTTGCTTTAAAAGTTGTTGTGAACAGGACCACCTTGAGCTGACCATGTGTCTGTTGATTATAGGTAGGGTTCTTTCACAGTCTACTCCAGGAACGCCACCAAAGACGATAACGATTTCCGAGAGCGGAGTTATTGGATCATCTCTGAGTACAACAGCGCAACAGACACCGAATAAAATAGCTATCTCACCGCTCAAATCCCCTAATAAGGTAAGGACCTGATTCTGACTGCAGGCTCCTGTCCATCCTGCAACGCGGTCTGAATAGAGCTCTTTGTTTTAGTCTTTGCTAGAAGCTGTTTGTGATCCTATTGCTCCAGAATGTCTATAGCACATCACTGTGCTCTGCTGTTAGAGGCCTTAGTTTTTTTGCAACTGACTCTTTTTCTGTGGTTTTAGGTAAATATGCGTTACTACATTAGTTTCCCATTCCTGCCATTTCTTGCCATTCCCTGAACATCCATTCTGAGAGCAGCTGTACTCTCCTAGCCAAGTAGTCAAACAGAGTATTTTTCTTAAGCTTTGATAAAAGGTCTCAACAGGTTGTTTTCTTTTTAAGAGATGTTAATAAGTTAACACTTATTAACCATTGCCTATTGCTGCACAAACGATTTCAAATATTATCTCTGCTCTCATCTGAAATAAGTGAGATTTGCCACGGTCCTTGCCAAATACAAAACTGAAGATTGGCACAGGTAGACGTTATATAGGAAAGAGAACTTGCCTGTTACAGGCTGCGTTGCAGTCAGGTGTCACGGTGACTCTTGAACGTTAGACTTGATAAAATTGTCTTGAGAAGAGGAACATTATTGGAGAGACAGTGAGTCTGAGTGCGGGAACCCGAAGTTGAGGGTGGCTAGTTCTTCTTGGATGCTTATGTATTTATACCACGTGCACTGGTGTAAGAATGAGGATTTTCTAAGTTTAGTCCCCCTTTATGTACCTAGCGTTATACAAACGTAGAGGAAAGGACTAGCAGAATTACACAGTTACTGAGGCAAAACATAGGGAAGCAGTAAATTAAATCTTATTGGAGCAAGGATTCAGAGGAGTGTGGTAGGGCAGGGGAGGCTCTTAGAGTTACATCTTGATTTTATTGCAGAAGAGTAATTCCGTATATCATGTAAAAACTGAGGTATTGGGTTCAGAAATAGGGAACAATAGGAAGTGGGAAGTTTAAAACAAAAAGAAAGGCAACCCTGGAAGGGATGCAGGTATTTGGAAGACTGTAACATTCCACTCTGCAGAAATCTGGTCAGAAAACAGGATCTCCACAGGAATCTGGAAAGGAAACGAGGAAATAGTAATGAAGTTCTTCTGTTTTGGCTGAATTAGTATTATATGGTGAGATTGTTACTCCTTTCTGCTCCCCTTGTTGGAAATTTCTGTTTATGCTGAAATAGTCATAGTACGACTTCTAAAGCTGCTATTTAGAAAATACATTCATGACAATGCTCAGGCTTCAGTGACAGAGTTTTCTTTAAAAAAAAAAAAAAAAAAAAAAAGCCAAACAAAAGAAACAAACGGAGCCATAATGGCTTTCTGAAGGCGCCTTTGGCCCTAGAAACTGTTAATGCTGTTACATTTCCAACATGCCTTTGCATGTATGTGCTCTGGTTGCACAGAGAAGTCTGTGTGAGTGTTTTGAATAAACATAGTGCCCTGGTTTACAGGGAGAGTTTGAGGTACTGGCTGAGAACTGTACCTCCCTCAGGAGGAGGGGGACATAAACGTACAGGGTATTGTTGACAGAGATTTAAACCAGCTTCTTTGTTTTGCCAAGCAGCTAACAGTGGTGTCAGTGGCCTCACAGCCTCCCAACTCCCCCCAGAAGACGGTGGGCGTCCCACTGAATGTAGCTTTAGGACAGCAGATCCTCACAGTGCAGCAGTCAGCACCCTCTTCCCCTGGGAAGGCTATAGTCAACCATACAACTGCGCAGGTACAAACTGGCTTTTGTTTCATCTTCTAGCGTGTCTTGTGTCTTGTCTCATCGCTTGTGGGAGACCGGAGCGCCAAACTGCAAATTTGCAATGGTCTGTCCCGAGGTGTTCTTATCGTGGCGTTTGCTTAAGGGCTGGCTCCAGAATTGCCCTGAGGAGCAGGTGCTTTTCCTGCCGAGGGAGTGCAAACCATCACCACTGCGATCAAGGGCATGCAGTTAGAAAGCAGATTCCCAACCTGGAAAGTCTTGTGTGGTTCAAGTACTCACTGCTGTATATCGAATCTCCCAATTAATCTGAAAGCCTGCCTATAACACTAAGAAGAGTTCTTCAGGTGGTTAATTCTTTCACCTGTGAATAGGGTTTGTATCCCACTAACCACGGCTGCTTTCCAAGTATTTCTGAGGCTGACAACCGAGTTTGTATTCTTGTGGCAGAGGTCTGCGTAAGCAAGACATGGTGGTCTGAGAGCTACGGAATTATGAGTTAATTTCTGTGTCTCCGTTTCTAGAAAAATGTCAGGGTTTTCTATGTTAGCATGGATAAATTGATTTGCATTACAGAATAAAAACACAAAACGGAAGTCTTTCCTAAACTACGTTTCTTAATTTATCTCTCTTTTATAATCTCACGTGAATATATTTTTATCTTAATGTCTGTGTTCTTGTTTTGGGAAACAAGAACATCTTGAAGGGATGTGTGTGAGCGTAAATAAGCAGACAGATTTTGCCAGTCTTCTCTTACCTGTAAGTGGTAATTGGATTGATGTTTTGGGAACGTAGGCACAAGTTGGTTTTTTTGTTTTGTTTTTTTGTTCGGTTGGTTTTTTTAGGAGAAACTGGAAAGATTGTCTTTTTAAACCAGTTAAAACATTAATCATTCTAATATAAGCACCCTAGAAGGCAGAATTGAGATGCCTGCACGGTACCTACCCTGCACACACCACCCCGAGATCTGATCCAAAACTATCTGAAAAAACACAAGGGTTTCCCCTGTCTTCCCTAGGCTCAAGAACATGCCCTTTGAAGAACTGCCATCTACATTTTATAATTTTCCCAGTTGTCTTTGGACAGCAGCCAGTAATTCATGCGCTGGAAGGAACTTTGCCCACGCTGGTCTCCCTGTGATAACACTTGTGCTGTGACTGTGCTTACAGATAGTGCTTATTTTGAGTTGCTATGGGTTATTGAGGTTTCGGTGTATTTAAAAAAAAAAAAAAGAAATCCAACAAAACACCTTTTCTAAGGTAATATCCAGTAAAGTAAGCGTAAATCTAGGTGTCATTCTTGTAGCTGCTGAAAGCTGGGGAGATGGGAAAATAGTGTATTAAACAGTGCATAAACTCTGCTAAAACTGGGTCATAGTATCAACCAAATTGAGTACTAAAATTTAATATCAATGTCAATGCTATATTTCATGCCAATATTAAAATGTCGTGAGAATAAAAAGATGAGCTCTAAAAGAAATTAGATGCAAGGAGGGAAGAACCTCTTCTTCTGAACCTGAGGAAAACCTTCTTCACTGTGAGGGTGACAGAGCATTGGAACAGGTTGCCCAGAGAGGTGGTGGAGTCTCCTTCCCTGGAGCTATTCAAAAGCCGTCTGGATGTGATCCTGGGCAATCTGCTCTAGAGGCCCCTGCTTGAGCCGGGGGGGTGGCCTAGATGATCTCCAGAGGTCCCTTCCAACCTAACGATTCTGTGATTCTGTGAAGAGGAATGGACCAAGGCTTGATCAGGAATGGAAAAAAGGGGCTTTCGTTATCAAACCAGTGGTGTTATAAATGTATATAAATAAAATAAACACTTGCTTGTTACCAGTTTGTAGTTTGAGAGAAACTGGAAAGAAGCTGTCTTGCAAATTCTGAGTAGGCTGTTATCCCAGCTGAGATAGCAAAGGTCTGCCAAACTCCCATTCCTAACCCTTTTTACTTTTTTCTTTTTCTTTTTTTTTCCCTCTCCTCTTCATTATTCTTGCTTCTTTCTTTTCTTGGCCTATGCACTTTCTCATCTTTTCATGTATCAGTTTGTGCTTTGTTTCATTTCCACCTCAAGGGCTGCACAGTGATTTGTGGGTATACATCACAAACGGTCCAACAGGACGTATCTGTGTACACAAAGATAAATCATGCAGCAGTCTAGCATCTGCAGGAGCTCTTACCCCGTGTTTTTATTAGTAGTAATGCTTTTAGGCTTGTTCCTTGCTTGCTTTTGAATACAAACAGCAATGTTTTCTTTAGTCATCTGAAGTATAATTTGGCAGACTTTGTATCTTGGGAAGGGGACTGAGTCACTGCACTCGTGTAAACAAAAATTTATTGTGGAGTTTGGTGTAAAGGATTGAAAATGGAAATGAGTTTGCTTTGTTTCAAGCTGTGACAGACATTTCATGTCTTTGTGCCTCTGTTTTGCTCTGGAAAGTAAACACGGGGATAACTGGCATTCTTCTCATAGATACTAGCGGGCTAAGGAGAGTTAGCTTGCTAACAAATTGAGGGCTAAATATGCTGATGTTCTACCTTTGTCAAAAGTAACTTTGCGCTCTCTGTGTTGATTTAATAGGCTGTGAAGTCAGCAGTGCAGACCATTACTGTAGGAGGAGTGGGTACATCTCAATTTAAGACAATTATTCCCTTGGCAACTGCACCCAATGTTCAACAGATTCAGGTACCCGGAAGCAAATTCCATTATGTTAGACTTGTTACTGCCACAACAGCCAATAGTTCAACCCAGTCTGCCAGTCAAAATCCCAGTACGAATACACAGCCTCTTCAACAAGGTAAGCGCTGGTGCTAATATGTTGTCTGAAGTATCCAGTAAGGTTTTCTTGGTTTGTTTGCTAAGGATTGACGTGACTACATAATAGCCATCTTTCAAGACTACCAGATGTGCCTGGTTTTGTGGTAGACTCCTATAGATTTTGAAAGATTTCGGATTCCACTATTACCTCTGGTTTGCATGTGGAAATGCTCCGATGTCAAATTCTGTAGTGAAGCTTGAACACTTGGAGCATTTTAGGCTGCTTTCCCCTAGCTTGTCAGCTTTGTGGGTGACTCATGGCAAGTCCTCGATCCTCTTGATTAAAAGTGTGAAGTCATGAAAGGCCCACATACATCTTGCCAGGCTACTGCAACATTAAGCTCTTCAGATGCAAGGTACTTCTAAAGTGCCAGATGTTTCTACACATCTCGTTTCTGTCCACGCTTTCTGGAGCTCTAATGGAATAAAAGATCTCAAACGAGGACGTGCTTTTATGTTCTCCCGTTGACAAACGGAAATGCAGTGTTCAGAGGAGGTCTGTACCCAGACTGATGTTTAAGCTGTTGATGTGAAACACATGTATGTGGACTCCTGTGCAAATACTTACTTTCAAAGGTGTTCTTTGCACGCAGTGGTGTTGGTATGTCGTGTGTTTGGTCAGTTAATCTCAAAACATAGTTACAGTATTAAGGAGCAGAACATAATATAGTAAAGATACTAGATGATTTATCAAAAACAAATAAAAAAGCCAGTCCCAAGAGTTAGCTCCCATGGTGTGAGATGAAGAATACCTCTGCATCCCATGTAGGTGAAGGTCTGGAGGACTGAACTGTGGGTTTTGAGTGAATAACGTGTTACTCAGTCTTGTTTCTTTATCCTAGCAAAGCCAGTGGTGGTGAATGCAACCCCAGTGCGGATGTCTGTTCCCATTGTGCCAGCACAGACTGTAAAACAGGTGAGCTGAGCGTGAAATGCATATTCCTGACTTCTTTTTGCTGCAGAAAAGATATGTTCAGTCTCCAGCACTCGAACAGAATGTTTCATTAAAAAGTCTGTTCTGAACAAACAAAGATTTCATAAACATCTTTTTTTTTTTTTTTTTCTCCAGGTGGTACCCAAACCAATCAACCCCACTTCCCAGATAGTTACTACTAGTCAGCCCCAACAAAGACTTATTATGCCAGCCACTCCACTGCCGCAGATACAGCCCAACCTCACTAACCTCCCCCCAGGCACAGTACTGGCACCAGCACCTGGCACGGGAAACGTAGGCTATGCGGTCCTACCAGCTCAGTATGTCACACAGGTATGATGTTAACCCGGCGATAAGCAATGGAATAATGCTGTTATGGAACATATTACTTTCCTCTTAAAGTTACGGTTCCCCAGCGTAGGTTTAGGAATTAACTCTCCTCTTTGCTAATCTGGCTAATATTCAAAATGAAAAGAAACACAGCTGAAATGTTCCGCTGAAGGTTAACTAGCCTATCTGTGCAAAGAAGGATTCTGTCAGCTCTTGGCATCGCTGGTACCCACAACGTTTCCGGTTCATTTTTGGTTTTGTTATGGCAGCAGTTTATGTCCCTAAAGACTCTTACTGCATCCTTGCACTCCACTTCTCTAAATCTTCTCTTATACCAAACGATACAGTTTATTGGATCTTTCCTTGGAGGTTCTGTGTTCCAGATGCAGTCTATCCCCTTTGGGCTGTCTTCAGTTGGTCCACATCGTGGTATGTGCCCACCTGACTTCAGAATCTCTCCCAAAAGGAGAAAATGAGTTGCACGTAGGTAGTAGAGAATAAGATAGCGCAAGCCAGCATCATTTGGCAAGTTCTTGTGGGTGATTTCTGTTTCTTTCGTTTGATTTATTTATTTATAAGGATGAAAGACAAACTCTGGGTCCAGGTCCAAGACCTAACAGGTCTTGTTCCCCTTAGTTATACGTGTTGTATTTTGGTTTTGCTTTGAATCATCTTTGCTGTGTTTTTTTGTACTGAAGTGATAACTCAAGCGCACAAACAGCACTTGAAGCTGTGAATATTGATGCTTTGTGCAGACAAGTTGACATGTCGGTTGTTTTATGAAATTGGGTAGTAAGTGGCTCATAGACTGACGAAGCTACTCAAGTTATTTGTGCGGGAAGTGAAGGTGGTCTGTTGGGGAGGGGTTCCTTTAGGGGAAAAAAGGGGGAAATGAGCATGGTTCTTTAGGAGCTGGAACTGTTTGGTGTGAGCATTTATTTGTAGTTTCTTTGTTATCTGTAAGGCTGTAGACACTGTAATAGAGAACAAAAAAATACCTAAAGTAATGCTTTTTCTGCTAGACGGGAAGGCAAAGATTACTGCCTGGTCTGTCTTCTGCAAGTTTCTAGCTCTGTAGTTAGACGCATATTACTTTTCTAACAACATATGGACTGCTAATTAAAAGGCGTACTGCAAATAACTTTGTGTCAAGTTTAATTTTTTCATGTTACACATTAACCTTTTGTTTTGTTAGCTACAGCAATCATCATATGTATCTATAGCAAGCAACACTGGCTTTACAGGGACATCTAGTATCCAGTCCCAAGCACGGCTACCATTCAATGGGTGAGTGTTTTGCAAATAGATTTTAAAAATAAATCCTCCTGTAGTGACAGCAGCTGAATAAGCTTCTTCCTTCAGTACCGTTTAAAGAGGGGTTTTAGTGGGGGTTGTCTGGAGGGTTTCTGTTGTTGGGTGGGGTTGTTTTCAGTTTGGTTGGTGGGTGTTGGGGGTTTTTTTTGTGTGTTTTTTTTTGTTTTTTTTTTTTTTTTGAAAATCAAGTGTACTATGCTGAGTTGGTTATCTCCTGCTGACTAAAGAACATGCATCTGTCTAACAGTTGAGCCAGTCTCTTTTGGTCAAAGCACTGTTTTCTTGTGTTTGTTTTTGTTGGTTTGTTCTTCACTCCTGTAGCAGAAAGTTGAACTGAAAGCTGCCTATTGCTTGCTCTTCATTTTGTATCAGCACCTGGAAGCTAGGTTAGGGAGCTGGACTAGCTGGGCAATTTCTTGACTTTGCTGGGAAGAGATGCCAGATAATACAAGAGCTAGGTACTCAGTACCTATAGAAATCCAACCAAACATGGAAATGAAACTAAAGCCCAAAACGGATCTTGATAAGAGGTTTGGGGTGGCTTTTTTCCACTTTTTTCCCCCCTCTTTAATATCTGTTTTTCCTTAAAGGATGAAAATAGCAGCTAATATGGATTTTTCCCACCCCAGTAAGCGTAGCTGTTCTACAAAGTTCTGCTGCGTTTTTGTTTTCTGGAAATTGTGTATGCAAAGGTAGTTTTCATTGCCGCAGCCTAAACTGTGATGCAAACTAATCCCAAATCCAGATGCAGCTACTCAAATGAATGGGTTTGATTTAATCTTCTGGTGTTATGTGCAGAGATGGCTCGATAGGGACGGACTGAGTCTCATCAAAAGTGATTAGTAACACAAAATCCTAGTTTTTAAGAGGAGTTAAAGCCAGTCTCTGCTATCCAATTTTTTTTTTTTTTTTTTTTTTAGCTGAATGCCATGTTTTGGCTTGCTTGCTCACTGTTCTGGAACTTGTAAACTTTTTTTAATTCCAACTTGTAGAAATGGAAAGGCACACTCACGTTGTGTGAACCTTGGCTGAATGCAGTCGCTCCTGTGTTTAGAGGTGTTCTGGGGAGTCTTCTCTGGCAGTTAGTAGTTATGATCCTTTATTTAGCTTTAAGCCTTATTGCTACGTTAGGCATGCAGCCAGTTTTGCAGCAAATAACCTAGCTCTTTCGGGCCTGGAAAGGTATTCTTTATGGTGGCTATGTAAACTCAGTCAGCGAAAAACCTATCGCAAGGAGACTGTAAAGGCTTTCCCATGTTTGCATTAGGAGCCACTGATCTGAATTCAAAATGGGAAGAAGCTGATAATTGTGTGTGTGTACATAGTTATACTTCCTTTTTTTTTTTTTTTTTTTTCCTTTTCCAGAATAATTCCCTCCGAATCAGCAAACCGTCCCCGGAAGCCTTGCAATTGTACAAAGTCTCTCTGTTTGAAACTGTAAGTACAGCTTGTTGGCTTCCAAGCCTTCGGTTTTTGACATTGCATGTTTATGCCAAGAGTCAGAATACAATGTTTTTAGGTATATCAAAAATAGTAGGTCTAGATTCTAATTTAAGGTCATTGCTGACAAGGTCAGTGGAGGTGGTGCAGTGCATGTACCGTTTGAATGATACAGAGGGGAAATTCTGTGGGCTTTCTGTACCCTAACATTTCATAAGTTTCTGACCTTGCAGCCTTGTGCATGGTGGAGCAATTGTACTCAGCAGCTGGACTTACACTGTTGTTACTATGAGTGGAATTAAATCCCACAGTATCATCAGTGGGCATCTACTAAAATGTGTCAGTGAAGCAATGCTGTGTTAAGTGCTTCAAAAAGATTGTGCTACGTGCTTTTTGAAGCATATGACTGGGTAAATGTTTCGTCACCAATAGGCCTGAGTCTTGCTCATCCTGATGAGATATTTTGCTCTTTTTCTCAGTGCCTTTGTAGCAATTTGGCCTTATGATTTGGGGAGATGCTAAGTTTTCTAACTTGAGGCCAAGTTAGGGTATTGACTTTGCAATAATATCAGGAGCAGATACTAAAGTTCTGACTCCCTGAATCCTAGGCAATGAAGTAGAAATCAGTGGTGCACTATGCAGGGGGAAGGTGATTCAGGAGTATCTGAATCCAAGTTAAGAAACGTGTTTCAACTTTTCAGCCTGGGTTTCTTTTTGTGTCATGCACATCGCATCTGTGCGAGGAGGTGTGCCCTGTACTTCCTAGCCTCAAAATTGCCTGTTGCACGGAAGACATGGTAAATGGGAAGATGTTTAAGCTCTTGGTTCCGATGTTTTGCAGCATATGTGACGACTTTGCTGCTGAATGGTCTGGAAACTGTTTGGGAGAATAATGGCATTGCTGCTAATGGTTTGCACCCTTCAGAATGCTGTTGGAAATGAAGTTTACTTGTGATTTACTGTAATTGTATCTTTAAGAGGCTAGGCATCTGTGCAGATTAAACGGTAAATTCACTCTGGCAAAGGTGTTTTCTCAGTTTGGACGGGGAGTTAATTTTCTGCAAGTGCATATTTAAGGTAGACATGTAGCCTATTTTACAAATAAGAAAACTTGATCAGAGAAGAGATTTACTCAGTGGTGCTGTGGACAGATGTCAGCAGTGTTTTATTTTGAAACACAGAACCATTCCAGTACTGAACTTTAAACAGAACAGAAAAGAGAACTATTACAGGTTTTCATGTAGTTTGTTCCTCGGACAATGCAGGATGCTAAAAATCACCAAAATGCAATTTGAGCGGAGGGAGGATTACGGCCGACTCTGGAGCAACCTTATTGTAGTTCTCTGTGGTGTTGTGAATGTCCTGGGTGACCCTAGGCAAGTCACAGGAAGCCAGTTTGGCAAGGAACTGAGGCTCCTAAAGATGAACATACACTCCCAGCAGGATTTCAAAAGCAGCTAAAGATGATGCTCAGCGACGGCCATTTGCTTCAGCTGCAGATAGTCCTGGGCCCTTTGAAACCCACCAGAGTTTCTCTAGGCCCAAAGTCATGTTTGAGCTGGGGATGACTTGGTGCTGCCCGATGTTAATTTCGAGGCGGGTGAGCAGAGACATGTAAGAGACAAGGCAATGCGATTGGCTTTTCCTGTCAATGTTTTGCTGGTTTTGAAGTCACATAATTGTCCCTTTCAGAAGTCTCTGATAAATACAGTTTTGTCCTCATTCTTATCTTTTTTCTAGTTGCCTCTGCTTCCAAGTCTATGAGCTGTACCACTTTTTACCCTTTTTGCAGTCTTCCATCTCTGCTTTTGCTAAATCGAACTTCAGTTCACAGTTGCAAACAACTTTTGGGGGGCAAAACTAACAAAAAAGGCTTACTGCTAACACTGCTACACCATTCATCTGCCATGTCAATTTTGTGGTTGGTTGGCACTCCAGCCCCTTGCCTTGTATTTTGGCTGTATGAAAGCTCCTGAAGGCTGGCCTGAACTGGCTGTGGCGTAGCTGTGGCAGGATGGCGCTTGGCATGGGGCAGCCACCCGAGGATTGCACTAGGGTGAAGTCTCACCCCTTCGCTATGTGCTGCTGGGATGAGAGCTAACTTGGTTGACGTCAGCTCCAACAGACACCCTCGAGCTACAGCTATGCCTTTAGATTGCAACTGAGGTGTGTGCTGGAGGATTTAGGGCTTGAAATGGAGCTTACGCCATTCCTGAGGGAGGATTTTGGCATAGGGTGGCCAAGGCCTTTATTGGTACCTATAGGTATCACCAAACTATAAACTTCTGTTACTGCGATCAGCATTAATGCTTATATAATGGTTCATGTTTACAGATAATCTGCATCTTTTCTTTCAGGTATTGCGATTGTTTTGCGAATGGTGAATTCTGCAATAACTGCAACTGTACAAATTGTTATAACAATCTGGACCATGAAAATGATAGGCAAAAAGCAATAAAGGTGAGGAGTCTGTTTTCTCTCCTCCTAAAGTCATTGAGCAGAAAAGCATGTTCCCGTTCGTACAGATTTTGGCATATTCCCGAGTAGGATTGAGATGGGTCAGCTGACCTTTTGGTTTGTCTCGGTGTATAGCTGGGATGAAAGCGGTAGCTTGCGCCTTGTAGAGCTACAGGGTGGGGTAGGGTGGGTACATAACACCCCAGTCTCCTTCCACTTGTATAGGGCTTTCCGCTCTCGCATCGTGCCTCTAAATTCGGCTCCTTGCGTACAGTGACTGATGTTTTGAGTCTGCATTGACAGGCCTGCCTTGACAGAAACCCTGAAGCCTTCAAACCCAAAATAGGAAAAGGAAAGGAAGGAGAATCGGATCGGCGACACAGCAAAGGGTGTAACTGTAAACGCTCGGGATGTCTCAAAAACTACTGTGAATGTTATGAGGTACAAAGCATTATCTTGTCTTAAAGATGCTGGCTTTTCCCTTTGGTACTGTGACTTCTCAGCTCTGCTTTGTCTCCTAAGTCCTGTTCCTCTACTGAGATTGGTTGATATTTTGACTGTTTTGCCAGCATCGAACAGTTATTTGAATAGTTCCCAGATCGCGTCTTACTGTTGCGTGCATACTTAGTAAAGGTGTTTGTATTTAGTGTGCAGCAGGGAAGTCGCTTCTCATTTTGCACTGGGCGATCTAAGGCCTCTTTTCAGTATTGCAGCAATAATTACATTTATCTTTTCTTCCAACAGGTTGCACATATAAAGCAGTGTACATTGCAAAAATGATTGCATATATATGACAGCTATGTCCCTAGCAACTTCATAGTGAGGCTTGGGTTTGTCCTTTGCTGAAGAGCATGTTTCATAAAGTTTCATAAAGACATCTACAGCACCATCTCTCTAGGAGCTCAGGCAGTTAGAATCACACACGCTGTGTGAGAAGACGGAACATATGTCTTCAGAAGCCAAAGGCAAAAATTATGTTGTGTGAGCTAAATGACCAGTTTGCGGAGGCAGAGATGGGGGCAGACTGACTTCTCTCATAGTCTGACTACTTAGAGTGAATTTCACTGAGAACGGTAGGTTTGAATGCCAGGAAGGGATGACTGTGAAACCATTGATTTGCCTTTGACTCAAGCACACGTCCTGGGAAGACATCTTGCCTTGATATAAGAACTTAGAGTAAACCTCAGCGGTTTCCTCCGGTGGATAATTGGTAACAGACTAAAACAGGAACACCTCTTCCCTGCAGTTGTCATAAAGCGGGTCAGAATTGCAACCGGTATCTCATGACCTGTTTGTTTCTTTCAGGCAAAAATCATGTGTTCTTCCATATGTAAATGCATCGGCTGTAAAAATTTTGAAGAGAGTCCGGAGCGAAAGACGTTGATGCATTTAGCAGATGCCGCAGAAGTTAGGGTCCAGCAGCAGACAGCTGCAAAGACCAAGTTATCTTCCCAGATCTCAGATCTGCTGACGAGGCCAACACCAGCGCTCAGCAGCGGTGGGGGAAAGTAAGTTTGCCGAGTCTACCTTGTCACTTGTTTCTAATGTGATTTTTATGATATGTATGACAACTGTGTCCCTGTCAACTTTGAACGCTATCAATATAAGCGTTGTTGCAGCACCGAGAGCGCTCGGGGGACTGGAGCCTTTTGTTCACGCGGCTGTGTTTTCTATGGATGCACCAAGCTTGGCTGTGTTGAAGTGTGTAACTAAGTATTGTCTTCTGGTTGCTCCTGTGCTGCTGGACAGTTTGAAGTACAAGCGTCTCATTTACCTTGAGGATGTAATCCTCAAGCTGCCCTTCCTTGCAGTGAAAAACTGGAGAGTTGTTCTATATGTCTGTGCTTTTTGAAGCGTGTCCTGAAATGTACCTAGGTGGAGGCAGGCACAAAGCACAATCGCCCACCAGTTTGTTTCACTGTAACTGGCTTGTTGGCTGTCTCGTGGTTAGAGGGCGTCTCAGGGCTCTGGGAAGCAGTGGGACAGATAAGCCCTCACATCAGTCTTCCTACCAGCAACTTGCTCAGTCCTGGAGTTAGGGCTCCTGGCAGGAAGGGCAGTGAGGGAGGAGCACAGAGGTTGTGAACCTTTTTCTTGCTTTGCGCTGTTTAGTGACGTTCAGGGGAACATCTGTAAGACTTGAAGCCTCAGTGCTTCAGAGGGGTTTTTGGTGCAGTGTGGATTCTTTTGCTGAGTGACTGAATTTTTATTTATTTCAGGCTGCCCTTTACCTTTGTAACCAAGGAGGTAGCTGATGCAACCTGTGAATGCCTTCTTGCGCAGGCAGAGCAAGCAGAGAAGATGGGCAAGTCGAAAGCTGCAGCAGAGCGCATGATCCTGGAGGAATTTGGACGCTGTTTGATGAGAGTTATTAACTCTGCAGGGAAGTCCAAAAGTGACCCTTGTGCCATGAACTGCTGACTCGTGCACATGAGCCACAACAAAGCGGACTGAACAGAACATTTAAGGCACAGGGACACTTTGGTTTGGGGCGGAGGATTTAATAATATTTGTTAATTTGGTGCTTGTTTTAAATTGACTTGCATAAGATTGAAATGAGAAATTCTTTTATAACCAGATGTAGAGTCTTTTAAATCTTAGCTAAATCCTCTTCTACTTATGACGATGCCTAAAGCTGAATTTTTCTTCCTAATGTTGTACAGCTTTTAACTAGGGTTTCTTAAAAGTTGGACGTTTTCTCCCCGTTCCCCCAAAATAATTGCCTGAAGGGCATATATAAATTATTATAATATATATTATTTACCGTGTATGGAGCTGCATCACGTTGTGCATACAGGAAAACACAGATGCTGACAACAAACAGATGACACTTTTGGCCGCAGGCCCGTAATACAAAGCTATCAGTGTATCCAAATTCATTCTGAAAGCAAGTGTGCAGAAATGAATATCTAAATGGAAGGCAGTATCTGTATTGAGGACCTGATACAGCACGTTCCTTTAGCGCATACAGCAGCATGAAATATGCAGGCAGTAACACAGAAGGGTTACTGACACACTTATCAGTGGGCAGGTGGTTAAGAATCTCACTGAGGCAGGGCCCGAGGAGTTCCGAGGTAAATAAAGCTAATGTTTTGTTGTTTGTTTGTTTGCTTTGAATGATGAAGTCTTTGGTGAGAGCTCGAGTGTTTTCTATGCTGGAATTTGAAGGCTAAGACGGTGGCCTGTTTTCAAAGGTGAGAAGGAGCAGCCATGCCATAACGCTAGGCTGTCTGCCCAACAACGTACGGTGTTAGCTTAAGTGACAAGCAGGTGGATGCTGTTGCTTAGGTAAAGCTTGGTGCTCAGAGGTCTTTAGCAGCCAAATTTGTCAGTGGGGGTAGGAGGACGAGCAGTCCGTTGCATTGTCTAGGATCAAGCTGTTACCCTGGAGATGTATTTGAGCCTTAGAGGCTGGGGTAACGGGATACATGGCACCACAGTTGTCTTGATGAGGACTCGAGACAATCTGCATCTAAATTGACCTGTGAACGCGTGTGGAGATCATGTTCAAGCTGGTTTGTGGATCATCTCGAAGCTGCTTCTCTGTATGTGGGCTTGTTGGCGATTTATTTGGTTTAAGGTTTTTAAGTGTTGTTTAGAATGACCGTGAGAGCCCTGATCATACAGGACGCTAGCACAGAATCAAGACTGCTACCAAAACAGACATGCTGATCCTTTGAGGGGGGAAAAAAAGGAAAAAAACAAATCAACTATAGCTGTGTATATACTAGGGTGGGGAATTTTTTCAGTGTTTGTTACAGGCAATCTCAGATCTCATTTTTGATAGTGGAAAACATTTACAAACTGAACCTGGTAAGTTATTTACTGAAAAGTAGCGTAATAACCATGTTTAATCACAGGCATTTTTATTGACTGTCTTACTGCTGCCTGGAAAAGATTGCTACATTTTTCCAAAAGGGGTTTTGTATTCCTTGTGTAATTGTAAATACAGAGAGATACAGCAGAGCTCTTCCTCTGGGTTTTTGAACAGGACCAGGCTGGGACTAGGCCAACCAGCAGCAGAGGTAAGTGCCTGTGCGTGTGATGGCAGCAGGACGGGAGGATGCTTCCGCTCTGTGTCTTCGCTCTGTTCTCCTGCGCACTGAGTGAAAGGCCCTTTCTCTTCAGCCCGTGTTTGGTGCCCCTCAAACTGCTTCCCGAGGTGCCAGGGATCAGTTTTTGGATAAATGTGCAAATCTCTGAAAAGGGAATCCATCACTCGTCTAAGTAATGCCATTTTTTTTTCATAATTAGGACTTGGATTTATTCAAAGTCAGTGCAGTAACTTTACATGTAGATAGTGCAGATATTCAGTTTACTCCTAGTGACCTAATATAGTATGTCCAGTAAGATTTGTATAAATGTAAATTAGTGTAAGTGAAAAAGGTAATACCTACTTACGTTATTTTTCAAACAGATTGGAATATGCCTTCTTTTGTTTAGACTTCAATCCATGTTAATTTTGTATATATTCTGTGTCTTACTCTACATTGCACCTTTTGTGATGTGTATTTATATACAGTGTGCAAAAGCACTTGTGAAATTTAGATTACAGTTGTAATTATGTATGATGGCATTGCTTGAGAATATTTTGCTTGTAAAGACTTTTAAGGTGCAATCAAATGCTCTTAGTTCTTCTCTTTCGTTTTGAACAAGCTTTCTCAAGCATTAAGCTTGGATTCTTCTCTCCCCTCTCCCTGGTGTAGTATGTATGAATTGGTTTTTGTACTTCCTTAGCCATTAGCATCAAACTGCTGGACAAGATTTGCAGTCAAGTTCATCCAGTTACATAAAAAATAATTGGGAAAGGGGCAAGGGTTCATTTTCTAGTTCTGTTTACATCTGAAAGTAGAAAAATTAAATTTATATTTACTAGACCTATTCAAATACACTTTTCTATATTGTAAAAATAAAAGTCAGATAAATCACAAAGAAAAATAAACATTTATACTATTCTGTAAATATGATCTTTTTGCAACTCTTTTCCTTCAGCGCTCACAAGCATGCACTAAAGATTTTCACTGAGATATCAAAATAATAAATCCGTTATCAGCAGGCAGAGTTTTGATGCAAGCACTGGCTTGACTTTTTGGTACAGGAATCCTACTGGAGATAAACTCTTGGTTACTTGTGTACTTTAATGTATAGCAATGGCTGTGAGGCACAAAGTCACTGTTTGCATAGCTTGAAAGGGGCAAAAGCTGTCGACCAGGCCAACATCAGGTAGTTGAGCCCACAGGTTAATTTATCCTTTTTTGTTTGTTTGTTTAACTCTTTCATGGGAAATGTAGTTTTTGTATGTGTGCTGGTTAGGCAAAAGTCAGGCTCAGATTGAGAAGGAAGATCTGCAAGGCTGGACCAACGGGCCTTTCTGCAGCCCCCTTGAAGACGGCAGGGTGCCCCACAGCCACTCGCAGGATCCAGGGCAAAATTTTCAGACTGAGCTTTGGTGAGAGCCTTCGAATAGTTAGCAGGAGACTACTGTTTTGTGGGAGGGGGCATCAGTCTTTTAGAGCCTTGGGAAGAGGTTTTGTGACCAACTCCATAATTCTACATTACTTGGTTGCATGAAGGAATGGGAGTCGAAAAGAGAACTTGTCCTCTCTTTTAGTACTTTTCTTTTTTGATTCTCGTTCCTCTGATTTCTCAGGAAAAGTATCAGGATGACCAAAGCAAAGGGAAGAGAGGATGAGGTTTTATACATGCTGGAAGACGATAAACTGAAAATTGATGTGGTGGCGGGGAAGCAACAGAAGGATTCAAAAAAGGAATGGCATGCTCCAAGTGACTGGGGGTGGGTTTGCGCGGACCCCAGAAGGGGCATGGTGTTGCTGTGAGTGAGGATGCTCAGTGTTTTACAGGTGAACATCCGGACAAAGGAGTGGCAGGAGAAATCACCTGGTCGTACTGGTGGAGTGAGAAATACTGGAAAAACTCCATTCAAAGCTGCAAATTTCTGTCGTGTGAGTACACCTGAGACTATTTCTGGAGGGCAACAGCAGGTCTGTATGTTTTGGAAATGAATGACAATGGCTGCAGATTTCCTCTAACTACTGTCAAGTTTCGTCTGGGAATTAGATGGCTTTGTTCTTCTAATTAGATAATTGCCCCTCCCCTTTTTTTCCTTAAGAGTCTGCTTTCGCTCAAGCCTAATTCCACCAGGCACTGCAGTCCTTCCTCTGTGTATCTCCAAAACCTCCGACATAAAATATTTCAGAGAATTACACAGGGATGGGTAAACTGGGGGGGAGGCAGGGGAAGGGGGTCAGCCCTGGGAATGCCTGTGGCCCAAAGTCTGTCCGTCTAGCAGGCTCCCCCGTTCGCTGATGGGCAGTGACCACACGGGTTGTGCAGATGAGAAATCCCTACAAAGAGAAGCTCTGTGCAGAGCCCCCCGCCATGTTTGCAGTGTCGCCCCCGAAGCTGAGAACTTGTGCGCAGCACCGAGAAAAGCTTGCCCTGTGGGACAAGGCTCTATCTGATCCAAATAAGACAAATTTGGTCTGATGTAAACAGGAAGTGGCCACAGGCTTACTTCCAACAGAGAAGAATTAACAGCAAGGGAGGGTCTGCTCCCCACAGCTTATCTCATTTTGCTGCTGGAGGTTTAGGCAATGCAAATGTTACAACTTGAAGTTAGTGTGGTGGCATACAGCCATGCTAATCAGCCACTGAGATTTCTGCAGCATTTTGCCAATTGTCCTAAAAATTGAGAAATATGGAAAAGAAAGAGTGATTTCCTAGAAAACGTATTGTAGCTGAAGTGGTTCCATAGCAGTTATCGATGCAGTGGTATTGCTTGCATAGGTAATTGAAAAAGAAAAAAGATCGAGAGCACTTGGGGTTTTGGCTTGTTCCTCCCAGCAGAGAACAGATGAGGAGGTCTGTGGTGGTGCTGCAGCTGCTGCTACATAAGCAGAGCTCTAGGCATTGAGTGGGCAGCTCCGCTCCCACTGTAGGGAGCATGACTAAGGGAGGGGGAAGAACCCAAACCTACCAGTGGCTGTTCTGCAAGTTCACTGGTAGGCAGAATTGCACCTTAAATATTATTCCTGCCCTGGGAAATAGTGGATCATCATATTTCATTCCATCTACAACATGAAGTTTTAAAGTACTTGGATAGCAAGAGTGATAATTGGCAAATAAATGCTCCCAGTCTGCATGGACGTAACTGTCGTTCTACGTGGCAGAGGGGAAATAACTAAGCAGCAGTTACACTGGACTTTGTTATTCCAGGTGGAGCGCTGTGTACCAAGGCAGCTTCCTCACCACAGAAATGAAATGAATGAAGAAGCCTGTTCTACTACTTCACTTGATGGCATGAAATCTATGATCCAAGTTAATAAGTGGAAATGCTGTCTGAAGAACACTGCCATGTGTCCGGGGCCGCAGGACGTACCAAACTGCAGCAGGAGCTCAGGGAGGAGAGGGTCATATTGCATGGTGAGTAGATGACCTGATAGGGCCATGTGATCAGAGCCGAAAAGCTCGCCCTGCGGCAGCACAATACTACGTGCCCAAGCCCTGTCAATCCTGCCCAGAGGGGCAGAGCAGGGCCTGGACGGAAAGCCACAGGGATCCCTGCTGCGCTGCAAGGCACGCTGGCACGGAAGCCGCCTTAGTCCTGTCCTCTAGTTTGGAATGACAACACTGTCCCAGGTTTTAATCACAACGTTCATTTTTTTTTTTTAAACGTTGAGTTTTAGAGGTGTAGCTGTGTAATGCGATCCCCTTTCCACTGAGTCCAGGCTTCTGTGCAATGGCTTGCTTAGCTTGTTGATGAGGCCTATAGGAGGGGGTGAGAGCCATGTAGAACTCGAGTATCTTTTTTTTTCCCCCACATCTTTATTTTCCTTTTAAAGTAAAAGCTCTGTAAGCTCTTTTGCCTCCAACTTCTTTACTGCAGCATCTCTATGGTGAACTCAAATTAGCAGCACGCTTAATCCGCTTGCTCTGTGCAACTGCAGATGTTTTCTCCTCTTAGCAAGAGCACCCACCGCACTAAACAGCCCAGCCCTACAAGGGGACACGGCCCTGTCCCCTACCATCTCACTATGCATTTCCAGCAACTTCTCCTCCTCCTGACCTGCCACAGACACCAAGTCCAAGACGTGGCTGCTTGATAAGATTCCTAGATCGGAATGCCGGGTGAAATGACCTTCCTCCTTTGGCTGGTCTGAACAGTGACCAGACTGTGAACATGTGCACTGGCCCCACCCGTCACCATTTAACAAAACAAGTTTTGCCAGGCGAATCATGGGAAGACACCGTATTGTTCGCTGACTTGAACGTTGCCTGGATCCGGGCATAACTGAGCCTAAGTAGGAGACAACCATCCTTATCTAACAGCAATGAATGGGCAGTCATGGCCCTACGCTGGCTGGGCTCGACTGACAGTTATGCCAAGGTGATGCAAATGAATGTTTTCCCTTTAGTCTCTTCCATCTGTGCTTTCCACAATGATACTTCAAGTTTAGGTTCTTGGCATGATTTGTTCTGACACGTAAGTAACTTCGCGTTATTTCCTTCAGTAAGACTGTGTAGTGATTGTTGATGCATGACTCCCCATCGAATAAATGATCAGTGAGTGTGGGAAAGAGGGGGCTCTGTCCCAGAAGCTCACAGAAAATTTTCTGTTCCAGGAACAGATAGCATAGCTTGGAGTTCTTGTTGCAATCTCCCACTTTGGCGTACGTGCTTAGGACTTGTTCAGAAACGTTTGTGATGTGGTGCACGCTTGCAGAGGGCAGACTCACTCCACCTAACTTTTTTATGTAGAGCACTGAGCCACGTTTTGGAGCACTCCCATCTGACTCAAAGAGAGAAGCAACACAAGCCTCACATTGCAAATCAGAGGCTAATTGTTCAGCAACAAATCCAGTGGTGCAGGTGATGCTCTGTGCACGTAGCGACAGGTCCGTCAGTGCATTGCTCAGGGCCGAGTCCCGCACAAGAAGGCCTGCGCTGAAGGGGTACTCCGTTGCCAGAGTCGTCCTACGAGCTGGATCGTACTGAGAACGAATGCTGCCAAGGGTCAGCTCTGTCTGGCGGAAGATGGATATATCCAAGGTGCTCATGTCACCAAAGCCACTGCTGTGTTGTAATCCTGGTGCCAAGCTGCAGCTGGCCAGCAGTTTGCAGTAAGCAGCCTGGAACATTGCGCAGGTGGGGTTGCCGCGGCCAACGCAAGCCTGCCTGAGAGCCCGGAGAAACAACTCCAGCTGGTCGAGGCTGAAGGTGTACGTCAGGAGGCAGTGCACAGGCGCGCCTTCTGGAAGCACGTAGTTGGTATGGAGCCACTTGAGGCTTTCAGCATTGAGCAAGATACTCAGAAATCCCAGTTTGCGCTTGCTCTTTATAACGTACCTCCCCACAGAGTCTGTTAAGGTGACAAAGAAACTCTTGGCCTCACTGAAGAGGTGGCTTACTTTGCTGTAATTTCCAGCTAGCAAAGGCCCCTTCAGTCCCCTTCCGTAGGGACTTCTGCCATGGAATACATCGCGCAGACGGCTCATCAAACGCACAAACTTGATGGTACCGCTGCAGTTCTGGAATGCGGCCAGGCCCAGCTTCTGGAGGTGCTCCAGCGCATCAGCAACACCCTCACTGAACAGCTGGGTAGCGAGGTTCACTCTTAAATAGCAATGCTCCTTGCTTTCACGACAGCCTGACCTGGGTCTGCACAGCTCTAATACCCTTTTCTCTTGCAAAGCTGCCAGCTCCACCATGTGCTGCCACTGTGCTGTTTCACTGAGCCACTGTAGCTTCTGGAAGCACTGCAAAGTGTTCCTTATCAGCTGGAGCGCGTGGCAAGTGTCAAAGAAGTACGTGATACAGTGAGCAGAGCTGGGCGGATGCTGAAAAGTGCACTGGATCCTTTCAGGGTCAATACGGATCCCCAGAGCTCGGGCTGTGTCAGCCCCGTGCGCGGTGGCACCTGATGTCACAGACAGCACCGCGATGCCGATGTTGTTCAGCTTATTGATGGTCTGACGAAGCAGCTGAGCAAGCAGGTGGCCGCTCAAGCTGTTCACAAAGAAGTAGCCAAGAGGTGCCCTCCAGGGACTCGCGATGCCTACTGCCATGAGGATTACCGCTTCAGAGGCCAGCGGGGCCTCATCAGCATCCAGGACGCCTGCCCCCAAGTCAACAAAGCCCACCAGATGCTGGGTCTGGGGGTCCCACTCCTGCTGCTTCTGAAGAGCCATGTCTTGTACCATCAACGCGCAGTAACGGTAGGCCTGGTCACCCTCTTCCACCCTTTCCTGAAGGCGGATAAAGATGTCACTGCTGAAGCCCGGAGCGGCATTGTTACTAGACAGCCAACTGGAAAAGAAGAAAGGACACAATTAGGAGTAGAGATTCAGAGAAAAATGAAGTTTTATAATCTCTTCCCTTTTGCAATGCGTGGTCCCAAAGTTTCCACTCTGCATAGTCCTGCTGGTTTTGACTTCCCCGCACACTGATGCTTGCCCCTGCCTGTATCGGTCACGTGCCTTCTCTCTCTTGCTCACGCGTGCACGCCCTCCCGTATTTTCTGACTGGTAAGCGGAGTGCTGCAGGTGAAATGAACTGCTCCTTTAACACCACCTGCTGCTTCTCCTATGAAAAGGACCTTACTAGTTTTTGCTCTTTCTTCCAGTATATGGCCCATTCCCCCAGGGCTAGCTCCCTCTCAGAAGAGTATTCTACTCCACATCACAGGTCCAGGAGTATCATTTGTAGAGTACTCCTTACAGAACGTGGCAAGAAGTGGTGAAACACCTCCTCCTTTTATTATTCCTTCTTCATTCCAGTGAACGCCAAAAAAAAAAAAAAAAGATTAGATACTGTGGTATCTGAGGCCCCAATATCTAGCTTTTCCTCACTCAGGTATTCATTTGGGAGTATTTAGGAAGCTCTGTACTTCCTCAAAGTTGTTAGCGTAATAGCTGTGTTAACTCTGACGGCATAAAGTGTGTGCCTGGAGTCATACCTCTCTCTGAGATACCTGCTATTAATATTTCTTAACGCTTGTTTCCCACTCTGCTTGGTGTTTGGTGTTAGCAAAATGAAGCACGGAGAAACTACTATAGGTGAATGTATTTTCATGATAGATCTCTCTTCCATCAATTTCTAAATAAGTACCTAGAAACCCAGTCAGCATGAAAAAAATATAAACTTGCTTTGTCAGGCTGGAAGGATGAGGCAGGGGAAAAATCTTCCGTAGATAATCATAGGCCTTGTTATGGTAGAGATGGAGAATACAAGCAAATTGTTTCATTTCCAGGGAGTATTCTGTCATCTGCCTCCAGTTCTGTGACTCACAGGGTAAATCTGTTTAAAGAAGTACAAGGTCAGCCTTAGTGAAGCAAGTAAACAGTCGCTACCTTCACAGAAGGAGGGGTAACACAGAAATATTGCAGCATAGGGTATACAAGGCCACGCTACTGCCTCGGGAACAACTGAGTTACGAAGGAAGTTTGACGTGACGCTAGGAAGGCGCAAGTGCTGTTACAGTGCCTCTCATTTTCCTCAGGATAGGTGGTGGCCAGGCACTCTGTCCCCTACCGCAGCTCTGCTGCTTACGCCGCTTGACTCTGTCTGTAACGAGTCTTTCCTTTTTCCTCTCCAATGTCATTTCAAAGCTTTGAGTAGATACTGCATCCTACTTGTGGCTACTGCTTAAAATTTCCATCAAAAGAGAGAAACCGCTAAGTTATGGACTACTGTACAATTTAACTGGCTTCTTCATGTCGCATGACAGACACAAACTGAGCTCACTTTCTCTGACAGCAGGAAGGACAAGACTGTCCTAATTAAACATCCCCCATCTTTGATTTGTCTGTCAGCTAGATGTTGGTATGAGGTGATTGAACAGTCTTGTTACAGAGCTCACCTGAGCGCTGCACTCACTTCGCAGAGAGGTGTGAGGGTACTTTATCCTTCACTGGATTGGATGTTGTGTTCCGGAACTAAAAATTTCCGCAGTTTTTACTTTGTAATTAAAGCTTATAGTATTGACCCTAGCACTCTAAGAGCCGGGGCTTACCCATGCTATACTAAAACTAAATAAAAACATAAAACTGGAATGAGGCAGTATTTACCCTGAAGCGCTCTTGCCTAGTCAAACGCCCCAAGCAGTACCTGAAAAGTGGGCCTGCAGCAAATTCACGGTTTCCTCAGACAACTGTTTTTTCTCTGCCAGCTCCCTGATGATGCTGGAAATTTTTCTTGGACGGTACGTGGGACACGTCCTTGCTGCAAGAAGCTGCTGCTTCTCAGGCAATGGTTGTACCTCCTTCCTTTCTGCCTGCTGTCCAGCTGCTGCTACAGCATCCTTTAAGCTGTAGTTGTGATCCTCGGCGATGACCTCGTCATCAGAATGGTTGAGGAGAGGCTGCTTCAGTGCCCTTGGGGATGGCCTGTTCCTGGGTCGCGGGTCCTTTAGTGGAGAAGGGACTGAGGGTTAGTGAAGTGATCAAAACGCTGCCAGGGCTTCAGTTCCGTGGAAGCCCAGAGGTGGGGGCTGAATCGGGAAGGGCAGGCGGTTCCCCATGAAGTCCGGTTTGGCAGTTTCACTCACGGGCAAATCAGCAGTGCTTTAGGGGCCGCTTGGCCTTAGCGCTCGGACCGAAAGCACCGCAGAGCGGCAGGCCTTGTCGCTCACTGCCGGGAAGACACACGCAC